TTTCAGTAGAGGAAGTGTGCCTTCATTCCATTAATTCCTATATAAAATTTAAACTTGCCATAAGAATTTAATTAATTTCATCAATGCAGTACTCTATCCTTTTGTTATACTTTTGTTAAATTTGGCAGCCAGTAGACTTCCAGTAATATGTCAATGCAAAACAAACCTGAGACATTAGTTCTTAAAGGCTAATACTGAAACATCTGAAGGGCAAAACAAGCAAGGGAAGATGTACTCATTATGTTAAAATTTGTGAAATAAGGATTTTTTCAATGTTTGTATCTTTAGAAATATGGCCCTTTTTGACTTCCATTTTAATGCACTTATTCTCCATATGTCAAAGTAGGAGGGAGGAGCTATAGAGCTAAAGTAAACTATCTTAGCCTGTTATTTATTTTCTTGGGTCACATTATCTGTAGCAATTACATATTTAGCAGAGAGTTAACTTAGAGTTTTGGGGCCAAAAGTTTAGTAGTTTTCCTGGTTCATTTTATTTTGGAAGCCATAACTGTGTAGAGGAAGTTTAAACTGACAGTACAAGAAATAATATTTGTGCCTGGCCTGCTGAAGAAATTATAATTAATTTGTTTTGTCCAACCTCTTGTGAAAGGTACTCTGTATAGCTTTTCTTTGAAACAAACATGAATGTAAGAATGTTAATATAAAATTGAATTGTTACTGTAAGGTAACCAAATGCCTGTTGTGTGCTATTGCTATACAGGCACATTCCGATCTTAAAGTTCTCTCTTCAGAACATGGTTTTCATTAAGGAAATGACAGTAACAAATCCCATCTAAGCTGCTTCATATTGATGATATTCACTTTTCATTGTAGTATACATCCTGGAAATTCTTTAGACCCAGAAAGATCCAAGTTCAGTTTTGTAAAATGATATATAGAACTTATACTGGATATGTCAAGATTGCCAGGGTTCATTGTTTTGATTTTGCTTAATAATTGCTGTTTTGATTGTGACATATTTGTGCCCTGAGGGTTAAGAATTAACCAAGTTATTCCAACTGCTATAGGAGTGTTAGAAAACCAGCTTAAATGGTTTCATTTTCATTTATCTACACAATTATTTTGATATTTTCAGGCAGAATAGTAGAGAAAGTTTATTCCCTGTTCTATAGGAATAGGCATCCAGATGTCTTGTCTGACAAGATGATTTTGCGCAATCTATAGCATTACTCTCTGGTCAACTGTGCCATTAATCTAGACGGAGATTATTACTAGAATAAATTCACACTGAAAAAGCTTGTGGGAGACTTGATAGCATGACACTTTGTGACACCATTTATAAAGGTGGTGTATTATGCGGATAGCTGAAGGCAGAGTTGGCCTATGATCAATTTATTCTTCTTGGAATTAAGAGTCAATAGAATGAAGTGGAACTGAAAACATGGAGAAGCATTTGTAAAAGGTGTATCTTTCACGTGCACAAGGTCAGCAAAAATGGAGTGCTCTGACGTCTGATGATATCAAGGGCAATCAAATAAGATATTTGGATAACTCTTTTTCTATGCTGAACTCTGCAATCTTTACAGACAAAAGATCTGTTCAGAGATGCAGGATTGACTGAAGGAGATGGTCATTCTGCTCCTTGAACGGTGGCTTTGATGACTGCTGCAGAGATGAGAATTGTATGTCCAAATGATGGAGATGAGCACGACAAGCACCTGTAGGTGTCTGGGTTGGTGGCGTAGCAGTGAATTGGTCCCAGTGTGACTAATATTCTACAAGTAACTTGGAAAGAGAAAGCTTTACTCAAAAGGCTCAGGGGCAGTCCAAGGACGTTGCTATAGCAACTGGAGTAAACCAGGTTATGGGGATCTAGCACTGGGCAGAAGAGCGCACTCATGGTTGCCCCTTACAAAAACTCTGTTCCTGAACTGAGGAGAGAACTGGAAAAATTTTCCTAATTACGGATTCACTCTGTATCCTGACATTTTGTCTCTGATAGAGTGTAGGAGTTAAAACAGCCTGAGGAAAAAGTAGAAGAGAGGAAGAGAAACTACTTTTGACTCCCCACATTGCTTGTAAAAATAAAAGACTATGTAAAAATAAAAGTTTTATCATGAAATGAAGAACATGTTCTCTGTTATTATTTAGCTCAGATCAAGTATTCCCCATATATGTGTGACTTCCTGCTCTGGCCATTCATCAAGACTGTTCAACAGCAGAAATAGATAAACATTTCATTTTCAGTAAGCCTGGTGCACCCCATAGTAGAGGTTGTTGTGGAAGGAAGACTGAGGGGCCTGTGAGGGCTTGACTGGTGACTGTTCCACTGTGATGGGGAAGGAACACAATTTAAGTCCTAAATTAGATTTTCCTAATGTTAGCCACAGAAGTTGCTTCAGAATGTTTGAATTTTTATAACAATAGTGTGGAGATGGTTTCCAAAATTTATCTTGTATTACATGTTTTCAGTTTTGTATTCTTCTTCTTATGCAATTAGGACAAATGTATTCAAATTTTAGCATACAATAGAGAGCTGAAGTTGTAAGTCTGTTTATCTGCATAAATGTGCTGTCTTGTTTAGGACATTGTAATCCAATAGTTTAGCCGATAGGTGCAATGAAACAACTTATGTTGAAAGGTGGAAGGTCTTGTGACAGCTCTTTTGTGAGGCACAGCTTCATTCTTTGCCATTTTAGCACTATGCTTTTTTTCATCTCAAGAATACCTTTTGCTATTAAGTACTATAAAATGAAACTGGATGGCTTTACAAAATATAAAGAAACTCAAATATTACTTCTAATGTAAAGAAGAATGAACACAGTGTATCATCTTTGTTCTGCTAATAGGAGATATACTTTCAGTAGTTCATGTATTTCAGTCTTTGTGGAAGACAGCTTGAAAGAAGAGGAGAATTTTTATATACGAAAGGAAGTTATCTAGCAATATGCTTGTGTTAAACAACTGTCTGTATGCAGTTGTCAATTTTTTCATCCATTATGCTTATTTTTGAAGATTAAATGAATGGATTTTTTTCTTTGATTTTTCTTGAAAATTGGTCAGGTGGTTAGGATTAGTTTGAGATGATTTAAGATCTGATGAGTCTCTACACATTAGGCTGATGTTTTTGGTTTTGGGTTTTTTTTTTTGTGGTGTTTTTTTTTTTTTTTGGACATGGTTTTGCAAGCTATCCTGGTCTGAACCAAATGGTCAACTAAATGGGAGTGTAAGTACAGTAATTTGTTCTAGGGAATTTTCAGGATTGTCCATAGTTAATTACATAGTCTAAGAGGTTTTAGCAGCCCCTTGACTAACATGTAAAATATAGGCTTTGCTCTGCAGAGTTAACAACCCCAAAATGTATAATACATTTTTCTCTTTGTTTAAAGCATTCTTTACTTTTTTTAAGATTATTGTTTATCCTGATACCTGTACCTTCTTGCTGTAATGGTAGTATCCATGCTCATTTTAGTTAGCAGGAGTTTTGGTACTGACATCTTGCATATCAGAGCTGAAGGAGAGACATGAATGAGGTAGTTAAAACAGTACCGAGTGTAGGGTTATTCTCAAGCATAAAAGTGAAATCCCATTTGCTTTTTGAGTACAGTTTAGTTTTCAGCACATTCATTTTCAGCAGGTGAATTAGAAGACTGACCTTTATGACATTAGGTACTTAAATAGATTCTTTTGAATGGGGCTTTTTTTCATAAGCCTTTTCATTCAGTCCTGGATAGACTGATGATTGCATTATTGCCGATGTTTATGTTTCATTGCAATTTGTGGCTGGTCTGTGTTTTAGTCTACAAGTTATTTATAATACATATAAAAGAAACTTATCTATTAAGTATTTCTAATGCATGAATTTTAAGTTTTACGTGTTGCAAAAAATTGTGGTTGGTCTTTCCTTTGAGTGTCATAGATTCTTGAATTCCTACCCTCAGGAATTTTTTTCTGTTTTGATTCCTGTGCATGGGCATGTTCCTATGCTTTTGCAAGAAAAATACAATAAATTTATGGTATCCTAAGCATTCCTATATAAATATTTAAAAATTAATAAATATTTTTTTTCTTGTCTGATAGTCTACTTTAATATTAAATAATGCACCTAGCATTTTAGTGTTACTGTTTTTGAAAATGTTAAGCTAGTTTGAGGATGTTATTGAATAACAACAAAAAAATCAATTGAACACCACCCCACCCCGCTCCCCCAGTCCTGGAAATGTGGAATATGACAGAAAAAATTGAAGGGTTCACTTAATAAAGTTTAAATAAACTTGCAAACAGTCACCAGTGCAACAAAATGATGAGTGGGTCATTTTAAAAATATACTCCCGCTTTAAAAAGGGATGAGTAGGGAGGATAAACAGTACAGTAATGGGCCAGTCCTTTGTATATGAATTTGATCTTTGGATATAAGCCTGACAGTGGTGTGGGTGGTATCTTAGCAGTGTGAATAGTTATCTTCTATTTTATTTATGTGTGTGTAGCAACAGCTGTAGGCATTGGGCAATGCATTTAAGAAAGACTAGCCAAACCCAGTAAGTATTTCCTAGTTGATTGTGAAAACACTTGTGTTATTCAGTGTATTCCTGCATAACTGTGATTTAATTGTCCTGAATTTCCTGCTCATCTCTTCAAATGAGGTGGTTCTCAGTATGAGTTGCTCTTCCTTGTACATCCACATAATAAAATATTTGAGAATGAAAAAGTGAATGTTTTTTATAAAATGATCCTAATTACTTGAACAATAAAAACCAGATGCTGTTTATTTTGATGTGTTGTTTTCTAATTATTGTGACAACTAAGGTAGTTACAGGGTGCATTTTAAGGACCAGGTCTGCATAGTATCATAATTCAGATTTTCTTTCAATCTGTGTGGTGAAGTCCATGTTTCCGGTTTAATTCTGTAAAAAACATTACAATATAAATAAGACTAGTAGTTCATGGATTCAATTTTCCTGCTGTGAATGCTGTGTTGTGTTTTATATTTCATTGGTTTAAAGCAGATTGTATTTGGCATTTTTTTTTTTCTTTTTTAGATCAAATATACGGCCAGACTATGCAGATACAAGCTTTCATGAGTTCAAAATGCATACCTTCAGTCGTGTGACGTCTTGCAAAGTCTGTCAGATGCTTCTGAGGTAAGATTTTTAAGTTGTAGGATTTCTTTGTAAGCAGGGCTAATTTCTGAATTTGAAGTAGTATATTTGAGTCACTGTGTCTCTGATACTTCACTAACAGCTCTTGCTGAGAAAGAGCTGTCTTTCAGTATACAGGCCACATAATGCATTGCTCTGCATAGGCATGCCGGTTGCTTGAAGATAGCTTGGGTATCTCAAAGTGCTATCTTGTGTTATATAGACATGTCCCTGGTTATCTAAGTTGTATTGAGTACATTAAGTACATTTAGAGTAAGAAAAGTGACTCATTATTTAGCAGCTTTTTTCTATCCCCCCTTTTTTTATGAACAAATTTAAAGTTAAAAAATTTGCAATATAGCCTATAAATTCCTCAATGCTTAAATATATATTCAAACTCACAACTCTCTTGAAATGGATCTTATTTTTCACGGCATCTAGGCAAATTGCCATTGAGATGAAACAAACTGTTTATCTATAGTAGGATAGATATGTAATGGTGAAATTTCAGGTGTACTAGACATACTTAGCCTAAGTTGCTTTGGGCTAAATTGAAATAGAGATTGTTATTCTACAAGTAGTCCAGAAGAACTATCTGGTTTTGATTTTAAAGCAGATGAGCAGCTTGTCACTCATCACTTTCTCTTGAGTCTTTAAGGATTATTATTATGCAGAACAGCAAATGACTTCTAATACCGTCTGCCATGTCTCTTATTTCCTTTATGTGTGGAATTTATCACTCTAATGTATCACTACCCAATTTTATTTTACAGGGGAACATTTTATCAAGGCTATTTATGTTCTAAGTGTGGAGCTGGAGCACACAAAGAATGTTTAGGAAGATTAGACAATTGTGGCAGGGCTAATTCAGGTGGTAAGTCATTTTTATTGTTAGAATACTATTTTTAATTAGGACATAAAACTTGCTAGATATAATTAAGGTTTAATTTACCTCTAATCTGTGTTTATTGTAACATATACACTTGTGAAACTACCATTTATAAGCACAATTAGAGTTGCATTTAGAATTCATAGGGATTTTTATTGCTGCTAAATTGAAATGTTCAAAAGCAGGACAGAACTGTTATAGGTCAAACCCAATTTCTTCGTCAATGTCCTATACAGCAAGGAATTGCTCTCGTTTTAATCATAGACTGCTCACATGTAACACCTACTGTATGGCATATCATCTATCATCCTTGCGGTTCTCCCTTTTTGTCTATGTCAATTTTCATATTTTCCTCTCAGCTCTTAAGCTGTTTGTTTGTCTTGCCTCAGCTTCCTCTTTCATCTCTTTGGTTTCCATGGTTTCTGTCCACTCACAATATTCACAAAAAGGTGATTGATGGTTCTTTACTTCCCACATCTAAGAATCATTTTTTTCCTCTTCTTTTAATCAATTCCTGTAGTCTGGGTTTCTTCCCTAGCTGTTGTCACTTTGCACTTCCCGATTCTTCTTCTACTATTTGGGACCTGAAGAACTCTGACTTTAGCTACCATTTGGTCTCCCTCAGATGACTTAAAATTTGAACTCTCTCCTTTCTGCTCAGTATTATATCTGTAACTCTTTTTCTGACATCTCTGGATCTCCCACTGCTAATGCCAAATGCTGGCTCTCATCATTTGTCACCCTTCCGTGTACCTATTCCGTGTACGTGGCAGTGAGTTTATTATGCTCCAGCCAGCTAAGTCACATAACGGTAGTGTTTTTGATTCTTGCCTCTGTCTGGGTTCTTAATTAGTCTTTCTTCTTTCTAGAGATGATTTGGTGCTGATGGGATGGGGGACACAACTGACAAACATATGTATTCTCACCCTTGAATTTCCCTCCCCATTAATACAGTTAAATTCCTATTGTTCGAATGTATTTCAAAGAGAAAAGCTGTAGGAAGAACGCATGAAGATTTCTGGAAAGTGTAGTTGTATATGTTGGCAAAGTTTCTAATTAGTTGTCCTTCTGACTTCTCTAAAATCCTTTCTAGAATGTACAATCCCTTCTAGAATTATTTCATAATAGTTTGTGAAGTTTCTTGCATATCTCACATAAGCTACTGCAACCTCCTCCATTGGGTTATTTTATTTTTGACATTACTATATACAGTCTTTGCAAATGCTGTTGCAGAGATAATCTCTCTCCCACTGCTTGAATTACATCATGGCTTCCTTCACTGCTCTTCAGTAAGATGCTGTTTCAAGAGTTTTGCCTCTAACTTTTTGGTCCTTCCAAAATGGTATAAGCTTGTTCATGTTTTTGTCCCTGTTTGTGTTACTCCCTGACTTCTACTTGGCTTTTGTCTCACTGTGCTATTTGCTTGCCTCATTCTTTCATGAAATCATCAGAATGGCAGGTACTGACTTTCTGGTGCAGTTAGTGAACTTAGTTTTCTCAGTTGCTTTTCTGTATTGGTGATTTTTTTCATACTATGATCCAAGTCTGCCCAAATGGCTTATCATTCAAGAACTCACTGAGCAAGAAATAACCACAACAGCCACAATAATTCCATGCTTTAGGATTACTCTTTTACTTCCGCCTCACATACTGCTCAACAATTACGCTCCCACCCAACTCCTTAAACCAAATAAAATGACACGTTAATGAGGCAACTAACACCCTAGTTGCCATCCTCACTTCTTTATCTCCTATCACTCTCTCCTACATTCTTTACCACCACATAGAAACTTAGAATAATGTAAATCAAATGCCTTCAAAGCCTTAAACAAGAGTTAAACGCTCTTAGTTTCTGCTAAGATCCACAGGATACTAACCTGCATCTCCCAAATGCAACCCAGATGCTTTAATTAAGGTAGGACCTTATCTAGACAGATGAGTCTTGATTCCACAAAACTCTAGTTAGGAGCTAGATGCCTAAACCAACAGGCTTCTGCCTACCAGATTGATGCACTCTCAATGCATATCAATGAGCCTGCAACTCAGCTTGAACTTCAATACACAGTTAAGGAGAGGAATCAAACCTCTGTAAAAATGCCTACAGCCTAATTCTTCAACACTCAACCATCTTACCTGTGACCTTCATTAACTGGTGACTATTCTCAGCTAACTATAAAGGTATTGGCACCCTTTACCTAATCTTTGGTGTATAGGCTGGCATGGTTTTCATAGCCCTTAGATTGCTTATCTGTGGAGAACTTGGACAAATAATATTTGGTAGATGGAAAAACTGTACAAGCAACCACAGTATTTTTCATTGAAAACACAGGTTTTTCATATAACCCCCTACAGATAACCTAAAGAAAACATTTAAAATTCAATTAAAATTTGAATATTTTATAGCAATTACATTTGAATAAATAGAGTGGAAAAACAAACAGTCGTCTTCACAAGAGGTGTATCTTCCCTGGTGTAAACCACCCCTACTTATACTTTTTTCTTTCTTTTTGCGCCTTCTGTTTTAATTGCTTTTGTAGTTTTTATTTTAATAGGATAGCTGGCAACCCAGGAGGCAGGAGCTTATCTTTCTGTTCCTTTGTAAAGATCAGTGGACACATATGGTGCAAAACAAGACTGACCATAAATACCTAGATAACACAGAGTCTGACTTCTTGTAGTTTTCCTGCATATATGCTTAAGTTGTGCACTTGCTAGAGGGAACAAATTAAAGGGGGGTGGGGGGAGTGAGAAACCCTGCCCCCCAAAAAAAACCTCCAAACCAAACCCCCGTAACTCCCCCCTAAACCACGTCTGCTTCTTCATAAATAGAATAAGTTATCATTTTACAACTTCAAAGGAGCAGATTGTTATTTTGCCCTGATTTTTGTAAAATGATACTGTGCTGAATCTTTCATTAGTGAAATTTGAAGCAACTGGATTGTTAAGATTCTCTTTTGTGTTGTATGGTGAGCTTATGCCCAGGTGTTCTGCTCTCTGCAATCTCTTGAACCTTCTCCTTTTCAGTCTATTTTTCTTCTCTGCAAAGGCTCCCAGTTTTCTGTAGCTGTAGTAGAAGGTAGAAGATTTGTCTATCTTCCACCTGCTCCTAAGGCAAAATGACAGAAAATGCTAGGCTGTGGCTTCCTTACAGCCTGCTCTGAGGGTATATCATAGCTGCAGAAACAAACTCTGAATTACAATTCCTGCTATTCTCCCCCTGGCTCTATGAATGAATTGAGTAGGGAAACGGTAAATGTTTTTGCCCACTTTGCTGAAAATGTGTCCTTTTTCTGCCTGGTGAGGGACTTTGGCCCTCATTGTTACTCGTTTGGAGTACGAAGGGAAATCTTGAGATTTTTCTCTACTGTTTTCCATTTTCATTGCCTTTATTCCATCTTTTGCCTTTTCAAAGAAAGAAGTGTTATTGTTTGAGCAGTGCTGCCCATTCGTAATGTGCACTGAGTAAGGAGAGGTTAAAGAGGAGGAGCTTTACCAGTTACTGCTTCCCCATATGGTCCAGACGGGGATGGGACAATTCAGACTTTTTTAAATACTGGTTTTGCAACTTACGTATGAATGATTTTCTGGAGCTGTTTTCACTTTTCCAGAGCTATGCTTAGAAATTGTGCCTCCCATAAGGTATCTGCCATGCTTGTTAAGTTATGAAATATTATTAAAGGAATTGATTAACCAACCTGGCCTAGTGGAAGGTGTCTGTCCCTCTTCATGGGAGGGAGTTGGAACTACATGATCTTTCAGGTGCCTTCCAACACAAATCATGTAAAATTTAGCATTTTTATTGCATTTTGTGGAAATAATATGCTCTGCATGCACAAAATTCTAAAATAGATTTCATTTTGAATCTTTTTCTTTTGAAATCTTTAGAGAAATTAATTTATGATAAATTAATTTTTTCTAGTGGTGCTCCTGTGGGGAAATTACCAAAGGTGGCCTGAGAGTGCTATTAGCTGAGAAGTTGTGGAGCATAGCCAGAATGCTTCTACAGTAGCAAAATGCCTGGGCTATTTATTGTATTGCTATATATTTCTTTTGTTTCTATGGGACTATTACAGCCTTTATCACAGGGTATAATGGACATAAAATACAACTGTCCTTTTAGGAAACTGGACGTCATTATTTCCCAGTCATGTGGTATTAGTTACAGCCACAGACATGGAATACATACATACATACATACATATATATATATATGTATGTATACATACACCATGATATATGTGTGGTTTGTTTAATCTGGTATTCTGTCATTTTGGTAATGGTTGATTCCAGATGCTTCACAGTAAAGAGTAAATTCTTTGTGTGGTAGTCAGTGCCCTCATATGATATTACTTTCTTAATCCTGTTAAACTTTCATCTTGCATTTTTGGAGTTCTAAGAGTTTTTACATCTTAATAAAGCTTTTGCATAGCTTCCCAATTTTTGTTGGTAGAAAAACCTGACTGTGTTTCAGGAGTTTTGGAACAGTGAGTTCTGAAGATTTTTTTTTTTTGTTTGGCTTTGTTTGTTTGGTTGTTTTTTTGTTGTTTGTTTTCATAGGTTGCATATCTTATCTGTGTTATGTTTGACTTTTTTACCTTTTTAGTTTAATCTGTGACTTCGTGGCTTTTTGTGAGAAGAGTCAGTGGAAGCCTTGACTGGCTGCTTCTATATGATAAATTATTTTATAACTCCTCGAGACTTCAGATATGTATACTCTCTGAATTGATTAGTCTTAAATTTTTTCTATTATGTCTTCATAAGTGGAACTTTTTCTCTACCACAATTTTCTTTCCTATTCTGTGGGTCTATTTCTAGAAGTCTATTTGAAAAGAGGTGATCAGAATTCAAAACACTGCAATGAGAATATACCATTAGGTTTCTTAAAGGCATTTTAGTTTTTCTCAACATTTCCTGGTTTTGTACAGTTAAAGATTTTGTTTTCTTTTTAGATCCCTGACCAAATACTTTTGCTAGCTGTTCTGAAATGATGCTTAGAACCTCCCTGAGTGGATTAAATCTCTTTTGATTTCATTCCAAGTCAGTTTGTGAAAATTCAAAAGGCATCCGAAGACAGATGAAAGCTTTAGAATGACAAATTTAACAAGTGTCAGATTTAGATGATACACTTATGAGAGAAACATTGACAAAATCTGAAGATAAATTGCTGTGTTGTCATGCTATGCTTTATACACAAACATATGTCAGCTCTTCAGATGTTTTGCTTCAAAGAAGGACAGTTAAACAGACTGTAGAAGTTACAGTGATAATAGATGCAGAATTAATCAGTTGAATTAATAAATAGAAGAAAACGTCTGCATTTGTCTCTTGATTTTTTTATTGTTCCTGCTCTTGCTATAAATCAGCAGCGCTAGTTGAAATTTTCTGAGCTTATTTCTGTCATTAATGATTTAACTTTTTTTCCCCTGAAATGCTGCCCTGTACAAGCTCAAGTAGTCCTCTGTGTCTTAACATATTTTACTTCTATGCCCTATCGCTTAATTTTTCTTTGACTTGAAATCCTCCATGCCCCCTCTTTTTTGCTAATGTTCTAGTGAAGTCTGTGCAGCCTTAAACACAAGGCCTTATGAAATCCTAAATCACATTGATTATAAAACGTACAGACGTATTTTCTGTCAGGGCTGTTTACAAGGACATATGTGGTGGTCTTTCTGTGGTGGCTGATGTGGGGATCTCTTCTTCTCTTTCTACCTCTTCTGGCTTCTCAACTGCATTTCTATGTCTTATTTCAAGGCACAGGACAATTTTACTTATCTAGTGAAGCTCTTCTTTTTGATGGAAGGGTTTTCTTTTGGGAATAGTTAAGTAAGCATGAGTAAGACACACTTTTAGTAGACAAAAGGATAAGTTCCTGCTGTCATTGTACAGGCTATTCTGTGGCCCTTGCAATTTTTGCAGAAGTCTTCAGGACTGATAAAACAGTATCATTCTGCCCAGAACATGCCACAGAATTGCAGTCTGTTTTCTAGCTTAAACCAGCAGAACTAACAATTGATTTCTATTGCCAGGTTGTAATTTTTCCAAGTCTGCCTGATTAAGTGTTTTTGGGCAAATATTTGCTGGTTCCACAGATTACTGAATATTAGATGGTTCATATATATGTACATAGATATGGTTCTAGACTCTGAAAATGTTTTTAATATTTTAAATATCATGCCAAACCCGCAAAATTTTCTACTTTATATTGCTGTACCCAGGGAATGTTAGAAGTATGTCTCACTGGGGAGTAAATGGATTAGAAAAACATTAACTGGGCATTTTAATAGTAATTTTTAGTTAACTTATGCATGGCTCCTTTCTCCTTTGGATAATTCCATTTGAAAAAGTACTTCTTTGAAAAGAAGTTTCTTCAACTGTGTGATGAACTTGAAAGTAAGCGTTATCATATGACTGGGTCAAGTTTAGAGTTGCTTTCACATGCTGATGTTTATGCCCAGTAATATAATCCATGCTGTTTATGTAATAATTGCTTGCTACAGCACATTAGAGATCATTCATGAAAAGCGTGTATTTTTGACATCTGAAAAGAAACCAGCAGCTTTCACTGTTTACCTTTTTGCTGGCTTGATCAATAGTTGCGAAATTACTGGCTCTCCTTCAAACCTATCACGTCAAGAGAATTGACAAGTAAATGCTCAAATTCCAGAATATTCATTGGAGTTATTGACACTTTGTATTTAACTGCAATAAAGGTTGTGCTGTATTGTGTAACTAACCATCCTTACTCAACCTGAACAGAAGTCACGCAGGGGGCTTGATATTTTTTGCAGAGTCCTGCACTATGGTACTTCTAGGTCATGATTTGCTTTTGTTTTGATTATGCAGTGACTGGCTAAATGACCGGTAAGGAGCAGGTAGTCCCACAGCTCCTTCAAAGTGGCTTGCTTTATAGTTCCTGCATTTTAAATATTTTGAATTTTCTTTTAAAATAGGAAGGTGAGTAGTTCACTACGGATCCTTTTTATTTATTCTCCATTTAGTTAGCATGTAAATCCAGCTGCTCTGTTGCATCCCTGAGGAGCAGCTTATTCCCATTTTCCGTTCTGTGCTCCCTCACTTATTGAGGCCAGCTGTTGATCCTTTTGCTTTTGTAGTAAAATATAATTATCCAAATGTGACCCAATGGTATCATGGCCTGAGTGAATAAGCAAAAACCCTAAAAATTGTGCTGAACTATGGCAATAAAAGTAGCTTGCTGTCAGAACTGAGAACTCAGTAATTTCACTGGCACATTGGTGATGAGCAGGAGCTTTAATTAAAATTGTCATGTGTAAAATATCTGTTGGTGGATATCCTCAGACATCTTTATTTTTTTCCCTAAAAATAGAAATAATGTTTGGATTTTTTTTCCTCTTGTACTTGTGTAACATATGAAAAGAAGATCTCTCATGAGGAAGCAATTCACATAATTCAGTAAGGAATATCCTGAAATACAGGAGTATTTAAACTGTAGTGAAATAACAAGATAAGCATAAGTAATTTTTTGATAGGCTTTTAGGTGGAAATAGAGATACTATATATTTTTCCTGATATGTTAATAGTGAGGTCATAAATGACATTTTGGTCCCTCAGTGTTACCAAAGTTTGGGGCATTTTTTCCAACCTCCCTCCTTTCCTTTTAATGAATTTTATTTTATACAAATTATCAGGTGTACTTATTAGCTGCCTATGTAGTGATCTATTGAATCTAATTTTTGAAAACTAATCAATTAGTTTCTTAATTATTTATTATGAAAAGTTTTGGGATGCTGCAATCAACAAATCAGATTCAATTCTTCCCATTGGAGGATAGAATTCCATTTCACTTTTTGGATAAAAGATCTGCTGAACTAAACATAGGCTGTTAAAAAACAAAAACAAAACACAAGGAAACAAAAACCCAACCCCAACAGAAAACCTCTAAGTCTGGATTTGAAGTTTAGCACCCCCTGCAAGTACTTACCTAAGTGACTTCCCTTCATATGTGGTCATTTACAATGCTGAGCTGAAACATTCGAAAAGGTGACTTTATTCAGATTTTGGCAAAAATCCTGACTGGCATATCAAATTGCCAAAGTAAATATCAAAATTATATTGAATGTGAGCAGCATTTAGGCAACTAATTCCCTCAGGCTCCTTAGGAAGCCTCAATAGTGTATCTGCATCTTTTCCTTTGGGGGCTGGCTTATTTTTCTTCTCTTTGCTCACTTTACAAATGCTAATTAATACCTTTGGAAAGGTTGTAATCATAAAAGTGTTTATTGAGGATGACAGGATGGTGTGTCTTTGGCACACTATATGAGAGGAAACAGTGACTGAAAGTGTACGTGAGAAGAGAGCTCTGCCAGTGGTAAACAGGCTGTGCTTCCCTGGCCCAGCCCAGAGTCTTGAGCTGGCGTGCTCAGTCTCAGCATGCCTTTATCATCTTTGCATAAAAAATCTAAAAGCCAAAGATTATTTTTCCCACACTTTACTGTTTAATGCAATTTTCATTATTTATTTATTTATTTATTTATTTACCAAGCAGAACAAAACCTACGTGCAGTTAAAGCTTTTTACTTGATTTACTCTGAATATGGCTTATTGTTTGCAAGATACTACGGTAAAAGTTTTCAAATGTGATGAAGTACAGACCTGGCATGTGTGTGCTTTGCCTCAGCAGTATGTGCAGTGCTAGAGCACACGCAGGTAAATACAGCTGTGTATGGTTTGATAAGGCACAGAACCAAAATCTAGCATATACCCAAATACCTATTACCAGATCATACATAGAAAAAAATGTAGAAAATACCCATTTTATGTCTTTTGTGATAAGTGGTGGGGTGTGTGTGTGAAAATGTTATTGTCTTGATGCAGTCCTGATCATCCACAGGACTGTATATTTTTTTTCCTCATTTTTAAATAATACAAGTGAATTCATAGAAAGAGAGGCATTTGAAACACCAATGGCTTCAGTTTGTGGTATACCAGTGCAATGCTTAATCTTAAAGACAGAAAATAGAAAAAATTTTGAAGCTAAAGGTATACATATTATCTTGATATACATTGCCATGCGATGGAAAGACAGAGACAAGAAAAGGTGTGAACTCGACTTGCAGCAAACGACAGCTTTTGAATTTGCAACAATTCAATATTTAAAAAGTATTTTCAAAAAGTTCATGAAGTGTGGATTGCTGTGCCACCGCTGGGAAGTGCAGCAGAGCTGGCAGCGGGGAGCCTTCCCGGCCGGCTCAGCACAGGACTGAAGGGCGGGGAGGAGAGCAGAGCAGGGTTTGCACAACACCCCTGGGCTGCTGGGGCGGCTGCAGGTATCAGGTAGAGCAAGAAGGCAGCGGTGTTTCTGTAATGCAGCACAGCACACACTAAGATTGCTATATAAACAGCGTACAATTTACAATTGCCAATAATGCCAATTTTTACTTATGTTTCAGAACACGGGAACCTGAAACACGAGGTAAGGATTTTTTTCCTTTACATGTAATGTTTATTTTGTTGGTGACATAAGAACTCCTTACTTATGTTGGAGCAGGTATGTTTTCTTCTGTGTTTAACAACAGATTTCTTTAGGGTGGTGGGAAATAGAAATTGTCTAAAAAACAGTGGATTCATAATTAAATATAAATGTATTCTGTTCAAAGTGCGAGTTAATTTTCACTTGGTATGGCTTAGGTGCTGACAGCACTGGAAGGGGTAGAGATTAGTTGTTTTTTTTAAGTTACAGGTAGAAAACATACACTGCTTCACAGCTGGTGTCTAGATCCTTACTTTTCCTAGACCAAATCTGGTAGTAGTTAAAAGTAGTCTCTCATTTTTCTTTTTAAATACTAGTGAGTCCTGCTGGAGTAACATGCTAGTGTATCAATCTTTGCCATGCCAGACTGCGGGGTGATGAAGGATCAGCAGGGCAGTGTTTGCCTCTTCATCTAAAAAGACTTTAGTTGCTTTAGAGCTATCCAGCCAGTGATTATGGAGTTTGTATAGTCTGTAGAGAATGGTAAAATGGGCACTGTACAGAGAAGCTACCATGGTGCACATAGTGTACCTTACTGTCAGGCCAAGAATGCTGTAAGCTACCCTGGGATATTTTCTCCCCAACTCCTGGTGCCTTTCCACTATAGTACCGAAGGGCATAGCAGCTGGGTTTTGTCTGTCACTTCTGACAAAGGAGAGGTTGTGATTCAAATGTAACATCAAGTAGTTTCCAGTGTTTATTTTAGATGAGTTTATGGTAATAAATTGCTTAAACTGCTTAAATGATATGCTGCTTATTAGCAACATATGAGTGTGTATATTGCTTCTCTCAGTGTGTTGTGTATTTGATGCTATCACTAAAACAGGTGAAGGAATTGGAAGGATGTTATTGCTGACATGACTGGTGAAGGGGGATTCATGGGCAGGGCTGACCACATCTGTGCATGGTGATGTGTGAGCTGTTTTCGTGTTACCGTGACCCTTGGCACCCTCTGGTGAGCTCCCTGGCTGCTGGCCTCCAGAAGGGCATGGTGGCCTGGGAGCAGCTATGGGTGAACAGAGGGCTGCACGGCTGTCCACCACAGACCATGCCTGAGGCACTGCTGCCTGCCTGCTCTCCTCACTGCTCCCTCAGCCGTGTCTCCTGCCCTGTGCTGCCCAGCTTTTCATGCCTGTGCCTAGAAATACCTGCTAAGTAAGGGCACTCTAACATATAAAAGGTACAGCCTAATACTTGCAGTGCTGGGACTCATAAACATATTGCTTACTTGGTCTTGTGGATGAGGTTGCCAGACCCACTAAAGCTAACTGTGGTGAACATACTGTGGCTGGACGAAGAGAATATATACACTAGATGTATCTAATCCATCTTCCTCCTTGGCTTCTCACCCCCTAGCTTGATTCGTAAATGTTTTTTTGTGGGGAAAAAATGGTTTCCTTTCTAGAGCTATTGATTTGCAATTGACTATTGAGTCAACCTAAAACATCAGAATTGCTTTTATTTTTACCAAGACTCTTGTTTAAGTGCCTGCTTTAATTCTCTCTGTGCAGAAGTAAACTTGAGCATAGATTTGGATCTATCTCTATTTAGTTTTCATAGTAGTAATGGAATAAAATCTACTGGTACTGCACTAATATTTCAAGATATTGAGCATGTATTCATGCAGTATGAGAATTATTTCTATCTGGTCCTTTAATGTATATAATTTATGTTATCACAGAATTATTATTATTTTTTTCATTTCAATTACATTTTTTTTTGATCTTCCTTTGTGCTTGCTTTTCTTATTCCTGCCCCTTTCCCTCTCCTATGCAATTCTGTGGTTACTTGCCACTCTGCATCAATCCTTATCAGCAATACAGCCTACATTTAAAATTAAATATCTAGGATACAAATGAGGCTTTTGTTTTTATTCATTAATATTACCTTCACTGTAGCAGCAGTTTTAAATTTTTCTACTTCCCACTGCAGATGAAAAAAACTTGCATCCTTTCTTAAATTAGAATTGCGGGGTACAGAGAGAGTGTATCCAGAGACTCAGGAGTTTGAAAGCTGTTTTTATACCAAGCTTTTGATTTTGCCAGCTTGCTAAAGGGCTAAGTTGTGCCTCAGGTTACTGCTTTCTGGCTTGCCTCAGTGTGTGTCCTGCATCAGCTTATATCAACTGCAAGTAAATCAGAGCAACCTAATTGTTCCCTTTGTTATGCAACATGCTTTTCTCTGCTTGGTTTGATTAAAAAATAAATAAATGCATGAATTTTCATGCAAGCTACCAGTTAAAACAAGTTTGCAAAAGCAGATCAGTAGTTCACAGATATGTGTTATTTCACATTTAAATTGTCAGGGATCCATGTAAGTGTCTTAGTGTATATAATACATTAAAAAAAAATAAAATTCAGTCCTGTAGGGGAGTTTCTGAATTCACACAGTTTTGGTTTATCTAAATCTAAAAAAAGAGGGAGGCGAGTTACTAAATATATTTAAGTACTTGCCCAGAAAACAAGAAAATTAAGAATTCCATAGGAAATTTTAGCTACCTTAAGTACAAAGCAGTAATAGCGAAAGTTTTGACCTTATCAAAGCAGCTTACATTTCTTTAATACTTCAATGTTTGTGGACATTATCTGGGGCAGATAGTGCCAAGCTGTGTGTTTTCCCCTATCCTATTCATAAATGATTTAAAGAAACCCCTGTTCTTGGTATCAAAAGATGCGGATGTATGAGCAAACCTGCTATGGACTAAGAATCTTTTGAGCCTAGCATCAGAAAAAATGGAATATATGAAAAACTGTCTACATTACTAAGTATATTTTTCAAAATATGATCTTTCTACAAGATAAAGATAATTGTGGTGGTGGTTGGGGGGAAATAAGAAAACCAGCTTTGCCTAGTAGATTGTGGGAATGTCAGGAGTGCAGTGTGCCTACATGAAAACATGTTTATTCATATCCTCCATTTGCATTTTTGTTCTGCAGAAAAGAACAAATGGAATTAGAAGAAATTCTAGACACGTGGACCCAGGTTTGTGTCATGGCTTTTTAGTAGTTAAACAGAAAGTAAAAAGAGTGAGAAAGCTGTAATTGACTTCATCAAGTTGCATTGTGAATGCTATTGTAATCCATGAAATGTTGAGAACTTTATTGCTAAAATTGTGAAGGTCTAAAGCAATTGTACTGCTTGTGATTTCAAAGGTAAGGTCAGCTGGTTGAATGCAATTTTTTTTAAAGCAGTGAACCTTAATAACAGGGCTTTTCTTTATAAGAAATAACTAAGTGATGAAAAACAGACAGTTGCTTATAAAGCTTAGGTTCTTATCTGCAAAGTTGTGGGTATTCTAAACCCTCTTAACTGTAGTGGTGCTCAGTGCTTAGCTGTACTGAATACAAGTTGCTCTTCTAAAAGGCCGAAATAAAGCAATAGCAGTTTTAGGTAGAATTTCAAAGTGGTTTTATTCTTTTTGTTAGTTTATAATAGATGCTTTTGTGGAATCATGGTAACAGCAGCCCTTGAGAAAATTAAATGCTTGCTTATAGGCTGTGTACTCAAGTGGGGGAACATTTTCTCTGGAGACCCATTGTGTTTCTCTATAAAATACTCAATGGTTTTCAGTGTAACTGTGATTTTAGTGTCATTTTTATACAGTAATTACATTTCTGTCCTTTGTTTCTCATATAGTTTAATTACTGAAGATTTGTTATGCAGATATTTAGAACAAAACTAAGCTGTGGATTATTAAATATTTCTAGATGTGGGCACCTGAGAATAGTTGGAGTCAAACATTAAACAGAATGGCAACTCTGTACAATACGTTACAGCCTGGCAGAGCTAAGCACTTTTCAAAAAGTAGGAATGCTGGTTGTGCCACTAGCATTGCAGCTGCCTTGGCTCTGAAAGTCTGAATGTTGTAACTAGCTGAAGCAGACCACACCTTTCTTACTCACGTACCTTTGACATGTTTTGGAACACGTATTGTCACTTTGTTCCCTCTAGCAAAAAAACTTGCTTGATGATTCTCCTAAATTGTTCTGTGTGTTGTTGACTGAAGTCATAAAAGAAAAAAGAAAAAAAATAAGCACCCTGTAACTCTGAAAATTAATACAGTCAGAGTCGAAAACATCAAGAATATCAATGAAATAATGCAGAAAAGGATGACAACAGTCCAAGGGGTTTGTTGTGATTTCTTCCCATTCAATGGTATATGTTGCAATGAAGTGTAATGTGTGCTTGCAGAATAGTCCTTATAGGTCTGGACCTTTAAACATAGCTGTCTCATGTAGAATCCTAAAAGGCTAAGAAATTCAGCGTTGTGAACTTAAGTATACTGGCAGTTTTACTTGCTGTTTAAGTCTGATAGAAGTATATATGTATATATACAATAATACTTTAAAATTAGGTTTTATTGAAGTCTAAGTATCATTCAGATCTCCAGAGTCATTGAATTAAATAGATGTTTAAGAGCTGTATGTAAACAATGCCTAAAATATGTTTCTGCTCCCTCACTGCTCCATGCATTTACTTACACAGAACAATTCTTTGAGGAGTTGGGGTATTCTTACTGAATAAAATTCTTGGTCCCCATTGTATTTTTGAAAGCCAGTAGAAATGCAGAACATTTGTGTTATGTTTATGTCCCTTTATTAGAGAGAGATATTTTTGCAGAAGTCTGTCTTACAGAATTCCTTCTGGCAATATAAATTTTTTAATCAATAAAAAAGATGTTACATAAGAATGTGCTCCATACATATACTTTATCAGTTTTCAAATTAAGTGAGTTTTTTAATTTGCATTTTGTCAGCATGTGTGTTCTGAGTCCTGCTGTAGCTTGGTGGAGATAACTTTTTAAAGATATGAATGTCTGTAGTAAACTCTTGTCATCTCCTGTGCATATTCTAAGTAAAGTTTGATTGCACATCGCCTTGAGAGACAGAAGATGCTATTCAGAGAGCAGCACTTGTAAGAGATCAGTTATTTCAGGCATACACAACTGCATTGAGTTTTTCAAGAACAGTGGCATAAAAATCTCTGGAAATCCTTGCACTGTGCTGCTCTTTTTGCTGGAGAGGTAGTCAAAGTCAGAGATAACATTCAAATTTTAATTCGGGTATGTGTGTGCTGTCAGGTGTGTGATTTTTTTTTTTTTTTTTTTTGTTGTTTTTTGTGTGTGTGTGTGGGTTTGGTTTTTTTTTTTTTCCTTCTTTGTTTGTTGGGTTTGTTTTGTTTTTAAAAGGAGAAAAAAAAAAATGTTTGCTGCCCAGATTGGTTTGTCTTTAGGAGGTATGATATGCTGCTGCTACATTGTTGCATGTTATGGTGCTGAAGCATGGGCACTAGTTTAGGAAAGCAAGCATTTGCTGTGAATCAATAACCAGCACCTACATTGTCTAAATATTGATGGAGTTTGATATAAGACATAAATACAATTATTTGCACAGTCTGTGATCTGTGAATCACAATCTGTGGTTTTGGGCTCCAAGTATTTTAGCACAAACTTTTCAAATTCATGTTCTGATTTGTCTCTTTCTGGTTTTGTCTTTTTTAGTAAAGAATAATGAATGTGGGAGCCATACCATAGTCAAGTTGATGTGTTGTACTTCTCTTTTTATGCTCGTTAGAGCCAAATTCAACTTTCACTGACATAGCTTAAACCTGAATGAAAAAATCATTTAAGCTTGAGAAGTATTGTGAGTGGAAGGATGGTTTTAACAAAACAATGTGAGGATACCGGATTAAAATATCTCTTGCTGTCTACTGGTAAAAATTACTGATGGAGGAGCATACCTAGCTGAAGTACCCTAAAAGCAATAAGTTGTTCATGGCTGTTTCTTCTTTTTTCCTTTAAAGTTTTGTTAAAAGTTTTGACAATAATAGTTTCCTCCTCAATATTTGCTTTGTGCTGAATAAGAAGGAAAGGTAGAGGGAAAACTGATTCATGGATGATGAGGCAGAGAAATTCCTGGGAAATTAAGGTATTGTGAGAAATACATGCAGAAACTGTAGAAAAAGAAATGTGTGCAGAAACTGTGCCAGAACAGATTGGAAATCAAAAGAAAATATGATTGTCTTTTTTTGTATGCTGTGCACTGTGACTTCAGCCTGTGGTCCAGTTGTAGAAACCCTCCTGAATTGGTTCATCTATAAGTTTTAGGGGAGACAGGTTTTCGATAAATTTCTTTGGATTTATCAGCAGATAATAAAAGCCGTTAAGTGAATGAACCTGTAAATGCATTTGCACCTATAGAGCCAGGAGAAATTTGGTCTAGAGTTTGTGTTTTACTGTAGAAAAACATGATTCTGCTTAAAGGTGTTTGAGAAGTTGTTAGATTGGTGTCGCTTTTTGCCTAGAATGGGCTTATGGAATTATAATTATATAATATTTTATTCCTTGTGTAAGGCATGTCATGAAAATTTTTATGCATGTGTTTAATATTAAGAATATGATTTGCCCTATTGACTTAAATGACAAATTCATATGTATATTCAGAAGTATAAATTAAGGCTTTGTTTTCTTGAGAAGGATGATGCAAACCAACTCTTAAATTTTAAAAGCTTTTAATGTTTTTAATAGAAATAATTTTGCATGCATTTTAATAAGACTAAAAATTATTCTCTTTCCCAGCTGTTGTATTAATAGTGTATGTTTGCTGTCTACTTATTTTTTTTAATGGTATGATGTGTCCAAACGTGGTAGATTCATAGCTTAGTATTTTTAAAACTAGTTTTATCCTAAACACTTTTGCTAATATAAACATTGGAACTTTAATCTTGAAAAGTGCGAAACTGTATTTCATATCACAAGGATAAACTTGGTAAAAATAGAATTCTACAAGCCTTATATTCAAGATTCATTGCAGATTAATCTCAAAATGTGATCTCTGAAGAATGTCACTGAGCATATTCTTACTTCTTATCTGACTTCTTAATTAGTTGATTTATTTATAAGCGTGGATTAAAGCTTGGAAAACCTCAGTTCTGAATTGAGGGACAAAACCAACAGTTTTTTTCCCTTCAAAGAAAGTAAAATATTGACTTTTTTTTGGGTGGAGACACAATATTAACAGGTAATGTATGCAATACAGTAGCTTGTGCAAAGCTGCTTTTCAACCTGGGAGTTCAAAGTTCGGATAGGTTTAAAAAGAGGGATTGGTATTTCTGGTTGGAGTCTCGTCTATACTTGGCTTGTGAAGCAATCCTGTAGTATTGATTTATGCAGATTATTTAAAAAAAAAAAAAAGGATCTGAAGAGAATAACTGGCCGATGGCCTCAAGTTTAGCTTTTTAAAAACAATCTGTGCCGGGACATGTACAGCATTGAAGATATGTTTGTTTAATTAGACATAGGGAGAAATGAGCTACTGTGTGCTTCATATTTTGTTGAAATTGGATTGTGGAATCTTTTAACCAGGTTTTGTCATAGTTATATGTATTTGATTTCTAAGCAGTGAAATGATATTCGAATGTTTGTGTAGCTTGGTAATGACTGCATCTCATCTTCATAGTAAATAATTAGGGGGTAGTGTAATATCAGCAGTTTAAATTTCCTTTTAAGTTAAGAATAAGGTATATTAGACTGTGAGGTATTTCAACAAATTCTGACACAGTGTGCTCCCTGATAGGCAAGTCTAACTCTGATTTCCGTTTCTGTGCCACTCCAACCATATGCCCAGCCAAAAGCAAAATCTGGCCCAAATTCAAGTGCTAGGATATCCCAGCCTGCATATAATTCTTTGCCAAGCATGTAGTTGTTATAGATAGAACTACTGTCTAACAGAGTTTGAGTTGCGTGTCTTGTTTTTGTGAACTCTTCAGGCAAGTCATTGGTAGTCTTGAGTGACTTTTATGTCTTGTTTGGCCCAATATAGAGAATACCCAATTTCATGGATAAGAAAAGATAACCTCTGCAAGATGAAGCCTCACGCTGAAAATCTGCTATTCAGGAATTTATTTCTCCATTTCAGCAATGGGGGCAGCTACCTGTGAATCTAGCTGCATCTCTGGTGGTCCATGGCTAACAGTCTGTCAAT